TTAATTTATGACAGCTCGTTTTAGTATTTTTGATGTTGATTTGTTTTGTTTTTTTTTTAAAGGTTAACCTCCATGCAATTTTGTAAGTTTTGTAGCAATGGAGATTGTTAATGGATGACACATGCTAGTTTTTGAATTTTGTATTTCTCCATGTAACTGTTTGTGGTGACACATAAATAAAGGTTAAATTTTGTTGTCTTAACATTTTATTATTTTTTTTTGAGCTAACCCTTTTTGAGTTTATTTGAAAAAGATATGTTTTTTATGTTTTGATTTGTTTTCTAATTATTTCCCTAGTTACAACCAGTGGTTGTAATAGGTATAATTAGGCACCTCAAGTGGCGCCCTATATTAAATTCCTTGAGGTGTTTCTTGTTTATTTTTATTTTGTTTATCCCAAGAGCCCTTTATTTCATTTTTTTGTAGTTGCCCCATTCCAATGCCCTTATCTTTTACTTATCCACGACCACAGCTCTCCTACGAAACCCTGAGTGCCGTTCGCATAAGTAGCGATTATTTTGCTTGCCTTATCTCCACCCCCTTAGTTTCTTCCCCCAATTTTCTACCCCTTATATTAATGCTCCCTGTGGTAGGCAAAATATCTTCGTTACAAGACGAAAGAAAAAATATGACAGAAAGCCTATTTTCACTCCAATGTCAGAAAGATCTTTAAAGAAAATTTGCATGGAAAACAGATTTGCTACCATTTGTTACCACAATTTGCGAAGAAAATTAAAATATTTGGGTTTTAAGACCCGCTGCTCCGCCAGGAAGCCAAAGTTACCACCTGCAATAAAAGCAAAGCGTCTGAGTTATGCCAAACAGTAGCGTAATAAAGATGCGGACTTCTGGAGATCAGTAAGTTCATAGCTTCTCCACAAATAATGCATTTAACCAACGGAAAGACCAGCAAACATTTTTTCTATTGTTGACAGGTCTGCTTCAGCTTTGAAAGCACATTTAAAATTTTGGAGAACAAAGCTCAGTTTGTACGTCGTCATCATGGGAAAAAGGTTTTATCCTGACTCTCTTGTTTAGTCTGTGAAGCACCCTACAAAAGTGATGATTGGTATTGATGATGGATACGATAATGGAAGTGTCATTAGCGGTAAGGTTAATGGACGTCTGTACGTGGTAAAAGGAATGATACGACATTTTTATGCAAGATGAAGCTCCCTGCCATACAACACGGTCTGCTAAAGCTTTTTTGGTATAAGGAAACATCCGTTTGTAGGATTATCTGGGTAAGAGGCCATAGAAAACGTTTACGAGTAGATGAAAAAAAAACGGAACGGGCTAAAGATATGATCACAAATAAAACACAGCTCAGATAGAATAATTTACACGTGGAATCATTATCCTTAAATGCAGGAGATAGTACAAGTTTGCACTGATAGTATGCCCCACAGAATTAAAGCTCTGATAGCGGCTAAAATTAACTCAAGAAAATAGAAGCATTTAATCATTATTGTAGTTATTTCTGTTTTCTTTTAAGAGTCAATAAATACATATTTGTTCATTATTAATGACGTTTTATTTGTGATCAAATATAGACCATTAAATGGACAATCAAACAACATACATTGTGTCTGGTACATACAATAAACCTATTTAATATCACCTTTTAATAACTAACATTTTTTGTAAAATCTTATAGTGTGTCTAATAATTTGGTCAGGGACTATATCTGCAAGTAATTTACATAATTCTCTAGATACCATAGAGACTGTTGAACTATTGGCGATAATCATAGTTTGAACTGGTCGGCTCGTATCTCACAACTAAAGAAAAAACTATGCAGTTCATTATTTGATATTCACCAACTAACAAAGGTTGTCAACTTTGAAACATTAAAATTTAATCATAATGGACAATTCAACAAATAGACATCAAATTTTAAGAATTCAAAAAAAATCTATCAAAATTTTAGCAGGGTTAGTTATCTACAACGAAAAATTGGTAGAAGCCCTGAAGAAGTCACAGAAGAAGTGCCAAGCCAAGCACTCAACAAAAAATGAAAAACTCACAGAAGACACAAGAAACCTAATGCAAAAAAGAAGGGAAATGAAAGAAAAGCATACAACGAACATTGCAGAGCTAAGGAATTTAAACAAAACCATTTCAAAAGCCATTAGGAAAGACATAAGGAACTTTAACACTAAGGAAATAACTGATACCGTAGAACAAAACAAAAGCCTAAAAGTTCTAAAACGAAAGTTGAAAATAGGAACGAGGAATATTTATAAGTTAAAAAATAATCAAGGATATGTCATACATGAACAACAAGAGATACTAAAAATCATCGAAGAGTACTATAGAACATTATATAGTCGAGATGATCACATTCCCGAAGTAGAAATTCCAGCAATACTAAATCAAGGGTCAGAGGAAATTCCAGATATAACCGAAGAGAAAATTAAGTCAGCATTAAAAGGTATGAAGAACAACAAAACACCTGGAGAAGATGGCATTGTAAGTGAAATGATAAAACTAGGAGGCGAATGCGTCATAAAGGCTTTAAAACCCCTTTATAATGCCTGCCTCTTTGAAGGAAATACGCCAGAAAAATGGAATAATGCCATTATGATAATATTGCATAAAAAAGGAGATGTAACAGAAATTGGCAACTACAGACCTATCAACTTATTATTTCATTTATATTAACTCTTTATCAGAATAATTACTAACAGACTGGGACCTAAGCTAGATTTTCATCACTAGAGCAGGCCGGATTTAGGAGTGGCTTTGGAACAAATGACCACCTACAAGTAATAAAATCCTTGATAGAGAAAGTTATAGAATACAACAAGCCATTGATATTAATATTTGTAGACTTTGAGAAAGCATTTGACTCAGTCCAGAATAGCTCCATGTTAAGAGCTCTTACAAAGTGCAGTATTGACCATAGGTACACAACTCTTCTTCGAAATATATATGATAGCGCAACAGCTGCTGTAAAAATGTACTATGGTGACACAGACACATTTCCCTTAGAGAAAGGTATTAGGCAAGGAGACACTATCTCTCCTAAACTATTCACCGCCCTATTACAGAGTGCTATGAGAAAAAATAATTGGGAAAATATTGGATTAAATATAAATGGGGAATTTTTGAACAACTTGGGGTTTGCAGACGACATAGTCCTTATTGCAGATCAGGTAGATCATGCATGCCAACTTCTTCAAGACCTTCAGAGCTCTTGTGCACGAGTTGGTCTTAAAATTAATTTTTCCAAAACACAATACATGACCAACCTGGTACTGGCAAAAAACATTTCCACTAATGGCACGCAAATTGAACAAGTGTATTCCTATAAGTATCTGGGCCACGAGATTAAATTGGGAAAAGGCAATCAAACAACAGAGTTAAAAAGGAGAATAGGACTGGCATGGGCAGCTTACGGAAAACTGAGGGAAGTCTTTAAATCAGCTATTCTCATGTGCTTGAAGAGAAAAGTTTTTGATCAGTGTGTACTTCCAGTTCTGACATATGGAGCAGAAACATTGACACTTACCAGAAAAGTAATTAATAAGATACAAGTGGCACAGAGAGCGATGAAGAGGTCAATGTTGGGCGTATCGCTCAGGGACAGAGTTTCGAGTCAGATAGTAAGGAGAAAAACTGGTGTGACGGACGCAGTTGAAAGAATTACAACCCTGAAATGGAACTGGGCAGGACATGTTGCTAGAGTTAGAGATGGAAGATGGACAAAGAAAATTTTAGAGTGGAGGCCTAGACACGATGCTTATCGTAGTCGAGGACGTCCTCCAACAAGGTGGTCGGACGATTTAAAGCGCATTCAGTCTAACTGGATTCAAGTTGCTCAAGATCGGATGCAATGGAATTATTTACGGGAGGCCTATGTTCAGCAGTGGACGCAAAATGGCTAATGATGATGATGATGATGATGAGTTATCTGGAACACTGCCGACTTTTCTTTATCAAATTAAAAATTATACCGCTGCCTACTCTGTTGATATTTCAAGTTCTAATGGAGATTTACAGAAAACATGCTTTAATAAAGCATGTACTGTGTTTAATAGACATGTACGTTTGTTCAGTAGTTTTTAATACTTTATAGCTTTCAGAAAGTGCCCAGTCGTCTACGTACCCGAACTTTTATTTCTTTTTTCTGCTGATCGTAAAGTGATCTTTGACGTCATATAGAAGATACCATGTTTCTCTGACACAGGTAGTTCTTCTGTTAAGCCCAGTCCAATTTTGTTTCTGTGTTCATTTGCTTATGAAATTGCGCCTAGATCGTAATCGTTTATTTTAAAAATATGTAAAAACTTTGAGATTTGGCTCTATCGAAGTCTTCTATCAGAAACTCATATATTCTAATAAAAACCACACAAAGAATTGTACAAATTTATATTTATATAGTAACAGCTACAATAATTTGTACGAAAGCCTAATGTAAAAAAACAACCTGCACTTTTAATAAACTTTTCCCTAAAAGTGAAAATGTTTTTTTCCACTACGGGAACATTTATATATGAAAAGACAATGAAGTATTCTCAGTAAATAATATATAGTATATTAGACAATATGCGTTACATGTAACAATTTTCGTCTCATATATTACTTTCTCTCCAGATCTGGCTATTCTACCAATTTCTATCTTGTAGGTTTCTTCTTTTCATTACCTCATCAACTTTATGTCTAAATAAAATAAAAATTTTATTCATCCAGACCTCTGAGTCTGCTGCTATTCCATGTTCGTTGGAACTTTGTTCCAACTATTAACAGTGCTACATTTTTTTCTTTTAGGAATAGTCGTCTAATTATCATTCGTGTTTTATTTTCTTCATAATATTCTAAATGAAGTTATAATTGTTTTTAATTATTGTCATATTTCTTAATTATTGGATATTCTCCAAATTTTAGTTTAACACGATGCTGGATTTCTTTTCTCTTTTTTATTTCTTTTTCACATTTCCGTTATTCGATCCATTTCTTCTTTTGAAGTCGATATATAAAAACCAACAAAAAATTTTAATTAAAAACATTTAATTTTAGGTCATACAAAAAATAAATAATAAATATAATAAAAACACATAAATAAATATAATTTTAAAACTTCCAAGTACCACCTACATGCCACGTTGGTTTAGCTCTATTGGGTCCATGAACAACTTTGCTCCATCCAGCTTGAAAATCATGGTCTTTACCTTTATTTCTCACTTCTACACCAGCATTAGTGTTGCCATTTCCATCACCGTTAGCTCCAGGGTTTACTTCCCAATCTGGTTTTGGTGATCTTTTGAATCTCCAGGTACCACCTACATGCCATGTTGGTTTAGCTTTGTTGGGTCCATGGACGACTTTATTCCATCCAGCCTCAAAGTCATGATCTTTACCTTTATTTCTTACTTCTACACCAGCATTAGTGTTACCATTTCCGTCACCGTTAGCTCCAGGGTTTACTTCCCAATCTGGTTTTGGTGATCTTTTGAATCTCCAGGTACCACCTACATGCCATGTTGGTTTAGCTTTGTTGGGTCCACGAACAACTTTGTTCCATCCAGCCTCAAAGTCATGATCTTTACCTTTATTCCTAACTTCTACACCAGCATTGGTGTTACCATTTCCATCTCCATTAGCTCCAGGGTTTACCTCCCAATCTGGTTTTGGTGATCTTTTGAATCTCCAGGTACCACCAACATGCCATGTTGGTTTAGCTTTGTTGGGTCCATGAACAACTTTGTTCCATCCAGCCTCAAAATCATGATCTTTACCTTTATTTCTTACTTCCACACCAGCATTAGTGTTACCATTTCCATCTCCATTAGCTCCAGGGTTTACCTCCCAATCTGGTTTTGGTGATCTTTTGAATCTCCAGGTACCACCTACATGCCATGTTGGTTTAGCTTTGTTGGGTCCATGGACGACTTTACTCCATCCAGCCTCAAAGTCATGGTCTTTACCTTTATTTCTCACTTCTACACCAGCATTAGTGTTACCATTTCCATCACCATTAGCTCCAGGGTTTACCTCCCAATCTGGTTTTGGTGATCTTTTGAATCTCCAGGTACCACCTACATGCCATGTTGGTTTAGCTTTGTTGGGTCCATGAACAACTTTGTTCCATCCAGCCTCAAAGTCATGATCTTTACCTTTATTTCTCACCTCTACACCAGCATTAGTATTACCATTTCCATCTCCATTAGCTCCAGGGTTTACCTCCCAATCTGGATTTGGTGATCTTTTGAATCTCCAGGTACCGCCTACATGCCAAGTTGGCTTGCCTTTGTTGGGTCCGTGGACAACCTTGTTCCAGCCAGCGTCAAAATCGTGATTCTCTCCCTGTTTGTTTACTTCTACACCTGCATTAACATTTCCTTTGCCATCACCGTTGACATCTGGATGTACTTCCCAAGGTTCTGGCTTCTTTTTGTCATCTTTAGCGTCAGTTACAGCTAATATTGCTATTATCAATAAGCACAATAAGGTAACGGTAAATTTCATTTCGAATTGCAACCTGAAAAAAAAATATCTATGTGAAAATGTTATATAAATATAGAGATGAAAAAAAAATAACATATTTTCAAATGTCACAAATAGGCTTTTGAAGTTGGATTGGTTATTTATCGAAAGATGATGAAAATCATTCAAAATATAGTCTGAATATCTTGGTCTAACCTACGTGACATTTTCAGGTATTCAAATGGTATCTTGAATATCTAGTGACAAAAAACTGCAAAACTTTGGCGAAATGATGGAAAGTATGGGGAAAATGAAGACGTATTATTAATACGTAAATATCAAACAATCCGAAAACATTTAAAATATTGTCAAAATGTTCTGGTCTGACAAGGTCACTTGTGTAAAAATCTTTAACAAAATTGTTTATCAGTTTAAAGAGTGTAAACAGAAAACAAAATCTAAGAAAATATAGTACAATATAATATTAATAGAACCGTATTTCTATTTTTCTTGAACTCGTTGAATGAAATAAAAGTTAACAGTAACAACAAACACCAACAATTAAAAATTATATTGATCAGCTACGATTTTGTTACAAAGAAATCAAATATGTTTTTAAAATTATAAAGAGATTAAAGGAACTCTAATCTGAATCATAAACTAATAGACATAAACATATAAAAAAAGGCTAAAAAAAAACGTTCAAAATTATATCAAAACTCTCTACATACCTGTATATTATTCGATTATGTATTATTAATTGTAATATCTTTCTCTTCGATGTCTTCAGTTACAAACGTTGAATGTGATTTGTATTCGCAGGAAGAAAGCTTGCATCTTATAGTGCAGATAAGTCGAGATTACTGGTACTTTACTTTTACCGCAAATGTGCAGTATCAATGTTTATGTTTAATTTTGCAAACTAATAACTATGTATTGAGATAAGAAACGGGATTTTACTTTAGAGTATTTAGAAAACTTTATGCTTTTCTAATAATAATATTTTTTTACGAATTATGTTAATATTTATTGTATTGTAATTGAATTATGTGAATTTGTAAATATTATTTTGGGATCCTCTGTTGTTGGTATTTTTGAGTTTACCGTATAATATTTCTTAGAACAAAAACGTTTAACAAAAATTTTATATGATCTTCATGCTTGTTCTTCTTCTTTATTATCTTTTTCTTCCTCAGATTTTCCCTTTTCAGCGGTCGCTGTTATTTACCATTCGTCGCCACACATTTTTGTCCATTGGGTCAAAAGGCCATTCTTCACCTAAACCTTCCCCCACATAGTCCTTCCATCTTCTTTTTGATTTTCCAACTCTAACAGCTGTATCCTTCGCTCACATAGTATTTATCTCTACGTCTGACATGACCAAACCATTGAAGTCTTTGTTCTTAAATATTTTTTGAGACTTTAGTCATCCCGCCTTTTTCTGGCAACCTTTATTCTGACAAACCTTGGATTACCAAAGGCATTCGCATATCTGCGAAAAATATGCGTTCTCTGCTATATATTAAAAAATTTAATGACAGTATCCCCATCTCTGATTATATCAATAAGTACAGAAAATGCTATATAAAACTACTCAAAGTAGCCAAAAAATCCTACTTTCATAATCGCTTAACAAGCTCCAAAAATATTTCAAAAGAAACTTGGTCAATAATAAACGATTTTCGAAATAAAACCAGTACAGCGAATCAAACCTTTTCTTTTCCTAACCCCGAAAATCTAAATGATTACTTTGTTAATGTGAGTAAAAATATAACCTCAACTATTTCGCCACAACAAGATCCAGTTTCCTATCTCTCTAATTCAAAAAACATTGCTGATACCTTCTTTTTAAGACCAGTTGATAAGACGGAACTCATTTCAACAATTCGTAGTATAAAAAGCACATCGTCCTGTAGTACAGATGGATTATCTATTAAAATTTTCTCAAATCTACCGCATAATGTTTTGGAGGTCATGGTCTCGCTAGTAAATGATTCCCTTGAAAAAGGTACATTCCCTAACTGCCTAAAGACTGCCATCGTCATTCCTCTTCATAAAGGTGGAGAAAAATCTGATGCCTGCAACTATAGACCTATTGCCTTGTTACCAGCACTATCAAAAATTATTGAAAGACTTATAAAAGTTCGACTTATGCCCTTTCTCCTTAAATATAATATTTTATCGCAAAATCAGTTCGGCTTTTTGTCTAATAAATGCACTAGTGATGCCATATTTTCTGTGTTACATGATGTATATCTATCACTAAACAGTAACCTCTCCTCCGCCACCGTTTTTCTGCGACTATTCCAAAGCCTTTGACTGCGTAAATCACGACATTCTATTAAAAAAATTAACTTTCTATGGAATTCGGGGTGTGTCTTTGAACTGGTTCAAAACTTACTTGGTAGGTAGGAAACAATTGGTTAGAATAAATGACACCGACTCTAGTTGTAAAGATATTGAGTGTGGAGTACCGCAAGGTTCAGTATTAGGTCCCATTCTTTTTTTACTTTTCATTAATGACATCACTTACTTGAAAATTAAAGGGAAAATTTTTCTATTTGCTGATGATACCAGTATTACTTGGAGCAGCTCTGATATTTCAACGCTTCATTCAATTATAACCGCTGATTTACTTATAATCAAGGCTTGGTCAGACTCCAACTTACTTAGCTTTAACGTGGATAAGACTGTAGCATTATCTTATAAAGGAGTCATGCAACCCTTGCTTTTGAATGAGAGCCAAATCAATATCGTAAATTCCGTGAAATTTCTAGGTATTCTCATTGACAGTGATCTCAAATGGTCCTTGCATACTGACTCCTTAAGGAAGAAACTAGCCTCAGCTTGCTTTGCAATAAGATCTGTTTCGAAGGAACTAAATTTATCTTCTGCCAAAATGGCATATTTCTCATTGTTCGAGTCCCATCTTCGATATGGGCTTCCATTTTGGGGTTCTAGTACAGCGGCCCAATTTGATACTATTTTTAAGTTGCAAAAAAGAGCAATCCGTTATCTATTTGGTCTCAAACAAACAACTCATTGCAAGACCTACTTCAAAAATCACGGAATTTTGACGCTTCCCTCTTTATTTATTTTGGAAACGGTTTGTTTGATTCGAAAGCATCTAAACATTTTTCCCGATAGACCTGACCATGGCTACTCCATTAGAAATTCGGATTGTAACGTTTATTTGCCGATCCCGTCCACTCAGCTAGTAAAGAATTCTATTCTATATCGTGCAAAGAAACTTTATAATCACCTTCCAAGAGAAATTAAATCCGCAACATCCTTCATTAAGTTTCGTAAGGTGACAAAAATCTATCTCTCAGAAAGAAATTGTAGGTTATACAATAATTTTACTAATTTAAAATTGCGTTATTCTGTTTTTTTATATATTTGTTTTTGTTTTATACTTTTTGTACTATTTGACTGATTTATTTTTTAGCTTTGTCCATAAAATTGTTCAATAATTTTCAGTGACAATAAAGCATATTTCTATTCTATTCTATTCTAATCCAGTCATTTCTAATACTGCCCCTTCTAGTCTTACACAACATCCAATGTAACATTTTCATTTCAGCTACCTTTAACTTCTTTTCCTGGATCTTATTTATAGGTCACACTTCACAGCCGTACTCTCACGGAGGTATCACCACACTCTTGCATCTCTTTCCTTTCAGCCCTTCCCTGATTGTTCGGTCACTAAGTGCTCTGCTCATTCGCTTCTAGTTAATACTTTTGGTCAATCTAACAACAGTTGGTGTACGCTACCACGTACAGATCCTTCACAAGCCTTACGTACTTCTCAGGAACCCATTTTTCTCTTATACATCTCCATAGTTCTTGTCTATTAACTGTGGTGTACACCTTCTCAAGATCTTTAAATATCAAATGTAGCTCTCTTTTTTCCCGCTGTATTTTTCTATTAACTATCTTAACGCAAACAATATATCCCTTGTCCTCCTTCCCTCTCCATACGTTGAGCATGATCTTTATAACATAAACCAGTTATCAACATTTTTTTATTATGCTATAACGATTCTCAGTCATGCGCTTTTAGAGAACTTAAATGTTCCTTAAGCGATTTCGGCCATGTTTAAGTGGTCTATTTCTTCTTGTAGTACCTACTTTGGAGGTAATCAACAGTTTTGGGACTCTATCTTGGGATGTAATGATGTAATGAACAGATGTACAATCGATAACTATCAGATCATATGGAATACAGCTAGAAAAAGGCAAAAACATCATCTATTTGACCACTAATGTTAACGGTAACTGTTATATAAGAAAATATATAAGAACATGCATTGAAAAAACCTGAGCCGCTTTCAATGGACTATAGAGAATTCTTTTAAATAAAGATATTACAATAAAAATAAAAATCGGGTTGGTAAGTTGCTGCATATTTGCTAGTTTGCTGTATAGAGTAAAGAATTAAGAGCCACTTTACTGGAGATTTAACTTCAAAAAGGCAAACTGGCAAAAGTATGCACACATGCTAGATTTTGAACTACTACGCCTTGAACCAAAAGTAGAGAACTACGAAAAATTCGTAGAGGTACTCAAAAATGTGTCTAGAAAAACTGTCCCTAGAGGATGTAGACAACAATATGTTCCCGGGATGTCCAGCGAGTCCAAAGAACTAATGAGAACATAGGAAAACCTTTATTCCACTGACCCTTTTAGCCAAGAAACCGTTGACTGCAGAGCAGTACTACTCAAGTAACAGCTAAGTCAAGCCAGATAGGAAAAGTGGATTGAGACCCTGAAAAAAATGGACATGACACATAGTAGCAAAATAGCATGGAACCTTGTAAAAAAACTCAGCGGTGATCCAAAAGAACATAAACCACCTTGCAAGGTTACAGCAAACCAAGTCGCTACTCAACTCCTTACGAATGGAAGAACTACTAACCGATATAAGGACCCAAACACTAGGAGAAGATTGGATTCGGAGACAAACCACCTAGGAACTCCTTTTACACTAAAAGAACTACACGACGGTCTGAACAGGTTAAAAAACGGGAAAGCTGCAGGTGTAGATGATATATGCAGTGAACAAATAAAGCATTTAGGTCAAGGAGCAAAAAACTGGATCTTGCAATTTTATAATACGTGCTGTAATACTTGCAAAATTCCAAAATCATGGAGGAAATCTAAAGTAATAGCCTTGTTAAAACCAGGAAAGGATCCAGAAGACCACAGTAGCTACAGACCTATTTCGCTATTGTGTCACTTTTTTAAACTATACGAGAGACTCATACTCGCCAGAATAGAAAAAAATGTCGACAAGCACCTCATCCCACAACAAGGAGGATTCAGACCTGGCAAATCTTGCACCGGTCAAGTCCTCGCATTAACAAAACACATTGAAGAGGGCTTTGAAGAAAAACTTATAACAGGGGCTGCTTTTGTAGATCTGACAGCAGCCTATGACACAGAAGGCACAAAACATTGCTCCGCAAATTATACGACACTCTCAATGACTACCATCTGGGAAAGGTCGTATATTCCTTACTGCAAAATAGACGTTTTTTCGTTATGCTAGAGGGTAAAGTAAGTAGATGGAAAATTCAAAAAAAGGCCTCCCACAGGGAAATGTTTTAGCACCAATGCTCTTCAATATATACACAAACAACCAACCTACTCCGACCGAAACCAAGCACTTCTTCTATGCTGACGATCTTGCAATATGTGATCCAGGAGTTAGTTCTGAAGAAGTGGAGGAGAAACTCAAAACAGCCTTAAAAACAATGACAGCGTACTACCTGCAGAATTCTCTGAGACCGAATCCCTCTAAAACCCAAGTCTGCGCTTTCCACCTTCGCACAAAGGAAGCCAAGCGAAAACTCCAAATTGTGTGGAATGGTAATGCATTAGAACACACAAACCAACCTATATATCTTGGAGTAACTCTGGACCGGTCCCTCACCTACAGACAACATTGCATAAAAACAAGAGGGAAAGTAACAACTAGGAACAGCATACTCAGAAAGCTAACGGGAAGTAAATGGGGCGCACGTTCTGGCGTTTTAAGAACAACGGCACAGGCACTGTGTTTCTCAACTGCTGAATATGCGTGCCCCGTTTAAAGCAGATCTGCCCACACCAAACAAGTTGATACTGCGCTAAATGAGACATGCAGGATAGTAACGGAGTGCACGAAACCAACGCCACTTTCAAATCTTATAGAGCTGCGGGTTTTGCAGAACCCTCAACACGCAGAGGCGCTGCAGAACACATAGAGAAAATTAAACAGATCGCGGACGATCGGCATGCCCTATGCAAAGCTCGAACACCACGAAAGCGACTAAAATCTAGGAAAAGCTTCCTTGGAACAGTGCAGGATGAACCGCCTGACTATTTTCCACTTCCCCAGGTTCAATGGACCGGCCAGACCCTAGACTTGGAACAAGTAAAGAAGAACAAGTGAAGAACAAGTGAAGACGTGAAAAACCTTGAATAGGATAAGAACGGGGGTTGCTACAGTAAAATCAAACATGGCAAAATGGGGAAATATAGACCAAGATGATGTGAACTGTGACTGTGGAGAAACACAGAATATGGAACATCTTCTTACATGCAGAAACTGTCCTCATCGATGTACCATTGAAGATTTGTGGCTCGCCAACAAAGATGGAACCGACGTAGCCCGATACTGGGACGAAATTTTATGAATGACATGTCCGGACACGATAAAGTAAAGTAAGTAAGAGACACTAATGAAAAGAGTGGATACCTTTGACATGTGGATCCACCGAAGAATCTGCCGAGTGAACCGAATTAGAAAAGTAGTTTTGCAAATGAAAAATAAAAAAGACTAAAAAATAAAAGGAAAATAACTACAACAATGAAGATTCGAAAGCTGGAATATTTCGTACAAATACAGAGCAAAATCGATAGAATAAAAGGCCCAGACAGAACAAGAACATCCTGGCTGCAATCTTCGAGAGTGGTACCGTAAGACATCCGCTGATATAATGTTATATGTGTAATGTTATATATTTCCGCATAACAAACATTCCGCAAACAAAATTATTACATTTACTATGAATGGCAGTATTAGATATGGGATAGATAAGAAGAAGAAAATTAGATACATATGTGTCAAATAATAATAAACTTTTTGCAAAATTATATCCATTTCCTGATTTTTTCGTGACCTTACAATCTCTCTATAATTTAAAATTTAACAAATCCCAAAATACTATTTGATTACGTAATACGGATAAATTGATTTATTATTGAATACAAACATATAACACGCTACTAAAAATAAGTCATTAAAAATGATTGTTTAATAATAAAGTAAAGTCCCGTGTTGATCTGAAATGTTCTACGGGTAAATGGTAAAGTACTAACATATTGGTACTCCCTCAATATTTTTGGGGTATAAAATGAAAACGATGATATGGAGTCAACAGTTCGAAATCTGCATTGGACAAGAAAATACTTAGTTGGAAAATAAAAAGGTATGTATTCTTGTTATTTATAAAATTTTTGTCAAAATTAGATAATATTCTTCATGGTTAAATGCTTATTCTTCTTCGTGTTGTTATTCTTCTATTTACATTTTTGATACTTTTTTATTATCTTTCTTGTTCTTCGTATTCATCTTTTTTTGTCTTTTATTTATTACAAATTTGCTATCTGCTAGTTTCGATGCCATAATCTTCTTTGTAATGAATATTTTCCTCTAGTTTATTATAAAAAGATTTCTAGAAGGTCTTTTCTTTGTGCTCGCAGTATGATTCTAGAAGCTCTTTCCTTTATCCTCACAGTATTCCTTCCATTATTAGCCATTGTAGCAAGCTTTAGCTGTTTTTTTTCTCTTGTCACTTTTTCTTAATTACTGAGATCTTTTATTCCACATAGATCTTTCGTGTAAAGACCTACCCCACCTCCTTCTTAATATTCGTTTTATTATATCGGTTATTGGGTATCATTAACGCTATTTTAATTTGTACAGCCATTCTGTTGATGCATTCTAACCACCCTCGTAAATTATTCATTCATCATCCAGGACATTCATTTTTCGATCTTTCCTTGATTAAATTTTGTAAACTTAAATATTTTTTGATCCCACTGTTATGAAACAATTTATTCATTTTTATAAAAACGGACACCAGCAGTTTCAATACGTCTGCAAATTTTAACGTGTTTGCCATTTATTTCACGTATCAAATCTGCAAGATAAAGGTAATTATGTAGCTTTGCAATGGCTTGTAAAAGATCATAGACTTCGTGCTCTTCAAATTAATCTTTGTACCTTAATAATTGCATTTTATATTTGTTTTTTTTTTTAAACTTTAGCAAGTTCCAATGCACTTGCGAACAGCGTAGTATCGTTTGTATATTGAATAATTTCTGCTTACTTCTTCATTTGTATTTGATACAACATTCTGGCAAATGTGAAGACTATAGACCTTAAACAGCAGAGGCAGCAGTATAATTCACTGTCCCACTTTTCATCTTACCCTTATCTTTACCTCTATCTATCATAGCATTTCATCTGTAAGTTTTTCAATGGCTCTTGTATTTTTTCTTTTATTACTGTGGAAAAGATTCTTGCTATTGAAGACATTACACTGATCCTTCTATAGGTATTTGGTGACCCTTCGTTACTTTTTTTAAATGGACTTATACGAGAGATTCCACTCCTTCTGGAATCTCCTCTTCTGCTTCGATTTTATTGAACAACACTCAGATGAATGACACGATCCTTGCGCCTTGATATTTCAGCAGTTCTATTTTTATGTTCCCTGGCCCTGGTGCTTTGTTGTTTTTCGCTTCCTTTAGTGCTTTAGTTATATCTTTCTCTGAGATTTCGGTTTCCTCTTTTATTGTTGTCATAGGATTTTGTGAGGTCTACTCCGGTCTATTCTGCTGCAATAATTTTTTGTACTGTTTTGTCCACTCCTTTGAGTGGATAATCTTACCCTTATTTTATCCATTATTTGACCTTCTATTCTTATATTTCCTTTCTGATTCGCAGATTTTTATTATTAATCTCTTTAGCCTCAAGAAATGTCTTTGAGTGGATCGTGGCATATTCTGTTGAAAGCCTTTGTACAGTTTACGGAACAAGCATCTATCTCTTGATAAAGACTCAAGCACCATTATTTGACTACATTTAGAGCAGACAGAGCTCCATTTTCTAAATACCATTTATATATGAATAATATTAAGTGCCAGCTTTTGATCCTTCAACTTAGAAATAATATCTTTAGAAAATGACACCACGCGATTATTCGCTGATCGAAACATTCTTTTGCGTTAGATTTTCTAGCTATTGCAATGAATGTATACGGCAGCAATTATTAAGGTATATAACCAAAATTTTTTATTGCCTTTTCTGTTTCTTTTTTCATAATTATATCTAGTCCAGTTTCGCTTTTTATATATGGAAAGTTTCGAGGGTCTGCATATAGTTGATAGGTGTAACTATTTTTCTATCACTTTAAAATAATATTCAATTATTTTTATTTCAGATTCAAGATGAACCTAAAACATGGATCAACTTTTATTTTAATATTACCGTTAATAGTCTTAACGCACGCCCAAGATAATGATAAACAAAGATTTAAAAGATCGCCGAAACCAGATTGGGAAGTAAACCCAGGAGCTAATCGCGACGATAATGGTAATACCAATGCTGGCGTGCAAGTCAAAAACCATGGAAGCGATCACGATTTTGAGGCCGGATGGAGTAAAGTTGTCAGTGGACCTGATAGAGCTAAACCAACATGGCATGTAGGTGGTACATGGAGATTCAAGAGATCGCCCAAACCAGATTGGGAAGTAAACCCAGGAGCTAATCGCGACGATGATGGTAATACCAATGCTGGCGTGCAAGTCAAAAACCATGGAAGCGATCACGATTTTGAAGCCGGATGGAGTAAAGTTGTCAGTGGACCTGATAGAGCTAAACCAACATGGCATGTAGGTGGTAGTTGGAGATTCAAGAGATCGCCCAAACCAGATTGGGAAGTAAACCCAGGAGCTAATCGCGACGATGATGGTAATACCAATGCTGGAGTGCAAGTCAAAAACCATGGAAGCGATCACGATTTTGAAGCCGGATGGAGTAAAGTTGTCAGTGGACCTGATAGAGCTAAACCAACATGGCATGTAGGTGGTACATGGAGATTCAAGAGATCGCCCAAACCAGATTGGGAAGTAAACCCAGGAGCAAATCGCGACGATGATGGTAATACCAATGCTGGCGTGCAAGTCAAAAACCATGGAAGCGACCACGATTTTGAAGCCGGATGGAGTAAAGTTGTCAGTGGACCTGATAGAGCTAAACCAACATGGCATGTAGGTGGTAGTTGGAGATTCAAGAGATCGCCCAAACCAAATTGGGAAGTAAACCCAGGAGCTAATCGCGACGATGATGGTAATACCAATGCTGGAGTGCAAGTCAAAAACCATGGAAGCGATCACGATTTTGAGGCCGGATGGAGTAAAGTTGTCAGTGGACCTGATAGAGCTAAACCAACATGGCATGTAGGTGGTACATGGAGATTCAAGAGATCGCCCAAACCAGATTGGGAAGTAAACCCAGGAGCAAATCGCGACGATGATGGTAATACCAATGCTGGCGTGCAAGTCAAAAACCATGGAAGCGACCACGATTTTGAAGCCGGATGGAGTAAAGTTGTCAGTGGACCTGATAGAGCTAAACCAACATGGCATGTAGGTGGTAGTTGGAGATTCAAGAGATCGCCCAAACCAGATTGGGAAGTAAACCCAGGAGCTAATCGCGACGATGATGGTAATACCAATGCTGGCGTTCAAGTCAAAAACCATGGAAACGATCACGATTTTGAAGCCGGATGGAGTAAAGTTGTCAGTGGACCTGATAGAGCTAAACCAACATGGCATGTAGGTGGTACATGGAGATTCAAGAGATCGCCCAAACCAGATTGGGAAGTTAACCCAGGAGCCAATCGCGACGATGATGGTAATACCAATGCTGGCGTGCTAGTCAAAAACCATGGAAGTGATCACGATTTTGAAGCCGGATGGAGTAAAGTTGTCAGTGGACCTGATAGAGCTAAACCAACATGGCATGTAGGTGGCACCTGGAGATTCAAGAGATCGCCCAAACCAGATTGGGAAGTAAACCCAGGAGCTAATCGCGACGATGATGGTAATACCAATGCTGGTGTCGAAGTAAAAAATCATGGAAATGATCACGATTTTCAAGTCGGATGGAACAAAGTAGTTAGTGGACCTAATAGAGCTAAACCAGCATGGCATGTAGGTGGTACCTGGCGATTCTAGAATCCTTTAGCGATAGTAATATTAGGAAATATTCTCGTACTTTGTAGGTACTATTTATTTAATTTATTGTTAATAAAACATTTTTGAAAGTTTATCGTCTTTCATTATTATATCAATTAATTAAATAGTTGTAGAAGTAATAACAAAGCAATTATCCTCCAAACAACGGATGTGATTCGTTGTTTTATTTACTAAAAGAATATGCAATTTAAAAGAAAAATTCAAAAAACTTGTATTTTCAAAATGTATCAAAGTATTTTCGATGATAAACCAGTACCTATTACATTATTTAAAGACAGTTTGAAAAATACATTTAGAAGATACCTAATATATTTTCGGAGTTAACATTAACTATAAAAATATAATATCTTTTTCCTTTAAATGTTTATCTCCTTTTGTTTTGTTTTGTCCCTAGTAGCCATCAATACAAAAGTGGTCATAATACTGAGAATCGATAATACGCAACAAGTCAAGAAGAACCAGTAGGCATGGTAGGTCCCCGATAGCAGGGTTGTACTAAGGTTTTCGTATTCATTTTTAATAGATTGTAATAAGTCCAATAGACTTTTTTTGTTATTTTATATATTTTACAAATATGATTTAGATATTTCTTAGAGATAATTTCTTGTTTTAATTATAAAAAAAGTTCTTTAATGATTAAATATACAAAATACTACCTACACATAACTTAAAAATAAACAAAATATGTTTAATCAAAGTTTATATTATTATATTAAAATTTGTTCGTAAGTTTCAAAAGAATTGAAAAATACTGTTGCGTTTCTTACATGTTTACTGCCACTTTACAATCACAAACAAGGCACATTTCTTCCTATTTTGCGTGATACAAGGACTGGATGCTGTAGCTTTGAATGGCAAAAGTTCCAGGAAAGACAAAAGATTTTATCTTTATCAATTTTGTGGTTCTATTATTTTATTTAATTTGCCAAAATCGTGAAGTTTTATTTTCAAATAGGGTTTTAAATCTAATTGCATCGTTAGATAGTCCTCTGATGTGCCCATACCATTGTGGCTTTAGCTAGACTATCTGACTTGTTATTACCATCTATTCCAACGTGAGACGGTACCCAAAAGAATTCAACTGCCAAACAGTTTTGGCGTACAGGATACAAAATTTATTTGATCTATTGTAATGTTATAATGAATTATATAAGAAAAATTGCTGTAGAGACAGAAGTGAATCGGATACTGAAAGATTCTTCGTTGAGTATGGCAAAAACTCGTCTTCGTTGAGTATGGCAAATAGTTCCGTTATAGCATAACTGTGCATGTCTCAGGTGACAGTTTATAAATGAAATGGGACATGATTTCATTCATTTTCATTTTGATTGTATTAACATTTATAAAAAGCTAGTTTTTGGTGTAGAAAATTTGTAGTGTATTGGGTAGGGTAAGATTTGAGAGAAAATCGATATTGCTAATAATATTTAAAAAGTCACCACACTTAGAAAAGGGCTTAAGAAATAAGGAGGAGGAGGTGTATGTAGGATCCTAGTTTTACGATTAATGAGATAATTAACAAAAGTCCATTAAGAGGACAAAAGACATACCTAGCTTTTCAAGTTTTAAATAAATTGGGCATAAAAATGAACAAGGAGAAGCCAAAAGTGATAGTCATAGGTGGCAGGTGAAAATGTTTAAATACTTAGGAGCTACAATTGGAGAAACTGAGAAAAATAATATGTCGAGATAAAGAAAAGGATAAATAAAGCTAATAAATTATAAAAGGTAATAGGAAGAACAATCATCAGCAAGAAATAAATAATGAAACAAAGGAAAACAAATGTTTTAAGGTCACATTTATACATGTGTATTGAATGGATATGACTTTTGGGTACTAAATGAGCAACAGAAAACTAAGAAACAGGCGGCAGAGCTAGATTTAGACCACAATCTAATGGTACATTTTTAATGGGTCATTTGACCCAGCATGAATCACAAATAAATCAACAGTACAATATGTAATAACACCTTTAGAAACTATTTCGCCAATTCTTATCGGTACACAAAGCATGGAGGTGTAAATTAAGAATTGCGCCTTAGATTTCTCACCTCTGTCCCAGTCAAAATCTATAGCGTTGCAGAAAAATTAATCTTAATACCGATTAGAAACTTTGTATATGAATGTCATACTGAGTTAAATTAACAAAAATAAGAAAAATTTTTTGCGAAAAATAAAAAAATTTTCCCCGCTGCTGATACCAATTTTTGTATTGAATCGCAGGTGATCATTTGTGAATTACCTACCTAAGTTATAAATGCCGTAATAAATATGATTGGCCAAAAAGCCTCTCCCCCCTTGAGTGCTAAGTTTATCTTATCTGTGACTTATCTTTACCAATAGGAATTGATGGCACAGTTTCTAAAGTTGTTATTACATATTGTAGTATATGTGATTCATACCGAATCAAATGACCCATTCAACATTTCCCATTCGCTTGTAGACAATTAGATATGTAGAGAGTAAATTTTAAGTTAGGTAAAACAGTTTTCATTTCTTGCTGTAATAACAGACGATACAACAGATGTTTCTACACAAACTCAGACGGTACTAGTCCTTAGTTACTGTTTTTTTCGGGAGTCATAATTACTATCATGCACATTATATAAAATATATTGTTACGCGCACCAATTTAAAATATTATTGCAAAATGCCATGCCTAGCACTCCTACTGTTCGTATATTTTTGGTAACATAAACGCCATATCTTCATTTTTTTCTAATTCCATGGACAGAACAACAGTGTTAAAGCAAATTATAAACAAAAAAATTAAAAACCATCGCAAAGACAATGAAATTTATTTTCAGTCTAGATCGATACAAACTGCATGTGAAAAACGAGACAGCATCCTGGAATGTTTTGAAAATATTGAATCAGGAAATCTTAAAATTTAAAACACAGAGATCACAGAAAACCGCCGATAAATGATCTTCTTCTTCCTCTAGCCATTCACGTCCACATCTGAACATAAGCCTCTTCAAGTCTTCCTTTCGATTGTTTTTTATTGTACGCTACTTGCAGCCAATTTTTCCCGGCAGTCCTTTTCAGATCATCTGTCGATCTCATAGGAGGTCTGCCTCTGGGTGTTTTGTGTTGGTATGGTCTCCAGGTTAAAATTGATCTATAATATTTGTTTAGATCGCTCCTAGCTACATGTCCAGCGTATTCCCATTTCAACTTTAATGATTTTTGCATCCCATCGGTGACTTTGGTTTTCTGTTTTATTCATGTGTTTGTTTTCTTGTTCTTAAGTGATATAGCATTGCTCTTTCCATCGCGTGTTGAGTGACTCTAAGTATATTCATATTCTGTTTTGTGATTGTTCATGTTTGTGCCGCATAAGTTAATATCGGAATAATGCATGCATCAAAAACTTTAGATCTAAGATGTAATTGAATTTGTTGATTTGTTGATTTCTTAAATGATCTAATGATCCTATATCCCAGTACTGGTTGGATTTTTTTTTACAAAATAATGCCACGTTGGTACATTATCTAACTAACTGTAGTCAATTCAGACGGTACTTTTTGCAACGCTTCCATTTTTAATTGAAATGTTTTGGTTTTAAAAATAATCTGTCTAGTGAAAAGTTATTTCAAAGAGAAAATTGAAAAGTGGTCAAGCTAAGTAATCTAAGTGCTAAAATTAAAATTTGCCAGAAATAAAAAAACTTGAACATCCAAAAAAATAAAACAAATACATAATTGTTTATCGAAATTCCACTTAACTAACAAGTACGAAAATAAAATATATTAAATTTTTGGTATTAATACACTGAAGAAACTTAGTAATTAACAATAAATAAAGAAAAAAATGGAAATTATCTATATCCACAGAAATAATATATGATTAAAAATCTAAAATAGAGGTGAAAAAACTCTACTTTCCTGGTTAATGAATTCTAGCATGGCGCGAAGATCTTTTTTTGTTCATCATCATCATCACCCAGCCCTTTGTGTCCATTGCTGGACATAGGTTTCCCTCATTTTTGTCCATTGTGCTCTGTCTTGAGCACTTTTCATCCAATTTCTTAACATGTTCTTGAGATCGTCTGTCCATAGTGTAGAGGGTCTTTCTCTACTTCTTTTATTTAATCTCGTCAGTGTGGTAATTCAGGAAATTACATCGGTAACTCCTGTTCTTCGTCTTAAGTCTTCATTTCTAACTCGGTCACGAAGCGATATACTCAGCATTGATCTTTCCATTTTCCTCTGAGCTATTTGCAGCGTTTTAGAACTTGTAGCTGTCAATGTCAAAGTTTCGGCACCATAGGTGATCACAGGCAACACACATTGGTCAAATGTTTTACGTTTTAAAAAAATTGGTATATCGCTTTTAAATATGTCTTTGAGTTTTCCATAGGCTGCCCATGCTAGGTTTATTCTTCTTCGTAGTTCGCATGTTTGGTTGTCTCTTGTGATCTTTATTTCGTGTCCAAGGTATATGTATTTTTTCACCAGCTCTACTTCGTTGTCTCCAATATTGATATTTCCGCTAGGTACTAGGTTTGTCATGAATTTTGTTTTGAAGATGTTTATTTTAAGACCCACACTGGCACACACTAACTGGAGTTCATGTAGAATTGTACAGCTCTTTGAAGTTATCCGAGAACAAAATTATATCGTCTGCGAATTTGAAATTTGTTAGTCTTCTACCGTCAATGTTCAGGCCTTTCTCTTCCCAGTTACGTTTTTTCTTACTTTTTTCTTACTTTCGTTTATTTGCTGAACACCATGAAAGGCTAAAAACTCCATTGATTTTTCTACATTCACCCTTTTTTCAATACACACTTCTCCCTCCTATTAAGTCACTTAAACTATTTTTATACAATACTGTTCCTGGATCTTCTTTCGTCACACGTAACCAGGATGTTTGAGTAATGTTAAGTTTATATGTATCTATATATTTTGATAAGAAAACTAAATTTATGGTGATCAGTAAAAAAAAGGGCTGGGTACAAGGGAGGCTCTGTTTGCAATGAACGTTCTCTCACAGAGATTCTTAGACATGAACCAAGAAATTTACGCCTGCTTTATTGATTTCGAAAAGGCCTTTGACAAAGTACAACAT